GGTGGTGTTGGGGGTGAATAACGACTTGCTGCTCCCAACCTCGGGGTTTTTCATTCGCCTGAATAGTCTACAGCTTGTGGAATGTGTCCTCTCACAACACTTGGAACTTCCACGCTGCCTGGTCTTTGTAATCCAAACAGTCTGCGTTGAAATTGAGCTTCCATGAGGAGGCCGTTTGGTCCTTATAGTCCAGGCAGTCTGCAGCTCCGCTGAAGCCGAGCCCCGCCGCGCCGTATGCCGACGTGGAGAGGGACGACGCGTTGCTCAGGTGGCCGGAAACCCCGTTGCTAGACATGGGGCTCATGGTGGAGCCCGCGGCTGCGAGCTGGTGGTGCATAGGCGAGAGGTAGGAGCCGCATTCCATCCCGGTGAAGTAGGACGAGGAGCCCGTGTAGCCCTGGTTGTAGCCCGAAGCCTGGCTGTAGGCCATGGGGTAAGAGCGCTGCATGCAGGAGGACGCGGAGGTAGACAGCGGGTCGGAGAGCGGGGAAATGGAGGCCGGGCTCCAGATAGACACCGGGGCCGCGCTGCTGCTCACAGCCGGGAGGGAGGTGCTCGGCGGCGGCGTGAACTGCCCGCTGGCACCGCTCTCTGAGCTGGCCTCCCTCGCCGGAGAGCTCTTCTTCTTCACTGGCTTGGTCACTGCCTTGTTCTGCGCTCCGCTCTGGGTTTGCTGGGCCTGTTGACGATGTTTGGCCCGTCGGTTTTTGAACCATACCTGGAATACAAAAAATGTAATTATTTAATTTAGCTATAAAAAAACAACACCATTTCTCTATTCCAGGTCAAATATAATCCACAATCCTGTGGTATGGTACACTGAAAACCGTAATTACATTCAAGTAATCAATGAGGCCACGTTCAAATGAATAGGTAGGCCTATACATCCCAGAAATAATTTAGCCATATGTAATTTTTCCAAAACGATATTCACAAGTTTCTACTGTCTTAGAGGCTTTACACTTTGACAATGAAACTCCCTTCTTAAATCATTACTCACAGTTAGTAGCACTTACCAAAAATATGAATTAAATACATACAAAGAGAAATTATCGCCTAAAGGAGAGACCGTTATCAAGCACTTCTCCAGCACTGAAGAGGAGGACACTTGAAGTATAGCGCCTCTCACTGAACATTATCGACCTGCCATTAATAGACTGCAATATTATGTTGGGGTCTCACCTGCACTCTGGATTCGGGCAGGTTGATTTTTAAGGCCATTTCCTCTCTCATGAAGATGTCAGGGTACCGGGTCTTGTTGAACAGATTCTCCAGCAGGTCGAGCTGGGCCCGCGTAAAAGTCGTCCTCTCCCTCCTCTGCTTGCGAGGTTGTCCTGTTAACAAGAAGAGTGTCAAATTAAAGACGCGAAATGATCTTACCAACCATTCAAAGAATACGAAATACACAATTGTGTAACACGATGTTTGGATACTCCAAATGTCCACGGTAATTACATTAGGAATCCATCACTCATTTAAATAAACTGTCTCTAAAATGCAAATAACTATTTAATTAAAAAAAAAACGTAATAATATGTTATAAACTTAGGTATATTTCTAAGCGTTTGGGTTATTACCGTGGTATCCCACTGAAGGGTGCAGCAGGTCCACTCCTGAGGCAGATAAACTGAGTCCGTTCACCGTATACGGCGGCTGCTTCAGATAGGACATCATGCTGGCAGCCGGGCGATTGGGCAAAATGTAAAATAAATAATAAAAATAGAGCAGGAAATAATGTTTTAATCCTCTCGCGTCTCCGTTTGGTCTTTCACTTCGTCCAACCTGGAGCAGGAACACAAAACAGGAGCGTGTTTAAGGTCGGTTAGATTCTTCTCTGTGTCCGCGGAATTTTGCGCGCAGCCTTTACGCACCGAGGTGGTTTAAAGAAGTGGGCGTCCTCGCGCTCGATGAGCTCTTAAAGGCGAGTAGAGACCCCCAGCTGTCCCCTGCTGGACTCAGGATGCTCTGTCTGGCTGACAGGCGTTTACGCCATCACCCCCCACCACCACACACACACACACACACACACACACACACACACACACACACACACACACACACTGATGGAAGGGCTGCAAGGAATAATGGTCAATTACAAACACACTCACACATAAATGTCAAATCCTGAAATTACTGAATGACCCAATCAACCCCCTGAGCCACAGCTGCCCCCAAACCAACGTAAATGTTAGCGGATTACTTTTTGAAGTTGTTGTTTGGCGACATCAACGCTAGTTTGATAACATCAATAACCTTGGTCGTGTGACATGGGCTTCACAGTATGAATGTCAGATATGTATTTGGGGCGACGTGGTGCAGGGGCATCTACAGATCAGAAGCCCCTGCAGTCAGCAAGTCAAATGTCTTGACCCTAAACATTGCTCCCAGATGTCTATGGCAGGGGTTCCCAAAGTGGGGGTCGTGAGATGATTACAAATAAAAAATTGATAGTAATTTTTTTTAAATAAATGGTATCCAATTTAAAAACATTTTTTTTAAATTATTAATAATAACGTGTGCATAGACATTTTGCAGGGGCGGACTGGCCATCTGTAGAATTTCCCCGCAGCGAGGCTCCCCCCGTTGACAAAGCACTAGCACCAGTCCCTAGCACTTTTATTTTGGGGGTGAAAAGTTTGGGAACCACTGGTCTTTGGTATCAAGGTTATGTAAGTTGCTTTGGATAAATGCTTTAGCTAATGACATGTAACGTTGTGTAAAATATATGCTTAGTGGTATACATAATATATTAACATTGAGCATGATAAAATACACTGCGCAGTGGCATGTAAACATTATTTATGGATAAAGAAGCATGATAAACATGTGATTTCCACCTTAAGACGTGACATTTTAAAATGAGTTCCAGTGCCTATAGGCCCAAGCGTGGAGCTCTGCAACAAGACGCTATAGCACTAAGGATCTACTCTACTGCATTTGTTTTACTTCCTACTTGCAAAGATGTGAAATGTTTTATGTCAAAACCAGGGAAGGTGTTATTCAAAGTTTTACAAAATGTTTAGTTTTCTCTTTTATTTTCCCACAATGGGTGTTGCTCCCTTATTATTTTAGTCTGGGTTGGGCAGAGTTCAACTAAAGAAACCCTCCTCACATGCATCCACAACTTTAACATGACTTAACTGTTGCGTTAGTTCCTTTTTTATGTTCCCGTTTTTAAATCTCTTTCATGAAGGGGGTCCGTTTGAATCGGTTTGTGTGAGTCATTATTAAATCCTCCAAGACCATTTTTTCTGCTTCACCTTAACTCGTGTGCATTTTTCTGTTCTATTTCAACATGATTCAACCTGTGGATATGACGATTACATAATAATTTAAAGAATGCACGCCAGCAACCACACAAACACACTCATGAATATGTGTGTGATAATCATGAGCTGCACAGAGACAGAGATGTCCTTAGTGATCTCAGCTTAGAAGGGTGACTCATACACCCCTCTCTCTCTCCTCACGCACACACAAACTGCTCTGTGTGCCGCTTTGATATTTCTGTCTAGCTGTTTCACCGTCGCTGCTTCACGAGTCTTTGCCGTGTGTGTGTATGTGTGTGTGCGTGCGTGCGTGCGTGTGTGTGTGTGTGTAAAAGCATTGACATGTAGTGTAAAGTGCTCAGAAGACTAGTAAGGCGCTGTTTAAATTCAAGTCCATTTATTATTTGCCAATTACATAAAGCAAAGCTAGCTTACATAAGCTAACTCATAAAGTCAAGTTACTTGATGTTAAATAGAATTTACCTAGCTTTATAATTTACAGTTATAACAAGATATTGTTTTGTTTACCTAATCTTATTGGTGGAGGTCGTGAATAAAACCTTGCTCTATCCTGCTGAATGTCACTGGTGTACAAAATATCGTACATCACTTCCTTCTGTAGCTCTGCAGCTAGACTCATCTCACTAATTGCCGTTGGGATACATTAGTATTCAGTGCAGAAGCTTTTTTAGTCACTAGAAGAAATAACATCCAAGCCCTGCCAAAATCCATCCTGATCCAGTTTAGCTGATAAAATCGCCATCCTCCCTGAAATGGGCATGCTGTGTGTCCTCCCCCAGGAGACATGGGACCACATTGACCTCCTGTCCCTATAGTGACTGCTATCAATTGGCCTGCCGTACCTCTGATATCACACATATCCCAGCATTGCACACCAACCTTTCTGCTATCGACAAACATTGATAAATAGTACTTTCTCTTTCGGTTACCTATCTCAGTCTTTTTCACAAAACGCTTGCTATGCAGTGTGAGAGTCCAGTGGTGAGCTGCAGTGTTCGGTTCCACTGCAGAACGTGCCCGTTTGGCTCATGGCTGGCTGGCTCAGACTGACCCAGATACACACAATAATCCTTTATGGACATGCACACACAATTAAAAACAAAACAGATCCATATGTACACACAGGCATGATCAAAAACAAGCATTCATTTCAAATATGGAAGGGTGCACAGAGCTGCAACAAACAGATTGAGAAACAATACAAATGCACAGGAGTAGACACAGAGGGCTAAGGTGACCACACACATAGAAAGTGATGAACTCAAATGCACACACACTGAGGTCAAGTTCTTAACGGTCTTAGTAAAAAATCCTAATTCCAAAATTAGTGTGCAGATGAGGATTTGGGGATTATTCGAAAGTTCTAGAACAGCTACTATTGAGGTAAGGCAGCTCAGTTCATGCTGGAAAATAATTGAATTACATCGGTTGAGCTGAAGTGGATTTACTCCCCTTAATTAAGGTTTTACATTCAGACAGATTTTGATCCCTACTTCGGCTGATCTCAGAACCAAATGAGTAAGATGTTGCGGCCCCTGGCTATGATTTGAATATACATGAGTGTGTTATATAGCATCAGCAGCGCAAGAAGTTTTTGTAACTAGAACCCTGCACATACTTGCTTATCTAGGCCAGTGGTTCTCAGCCTTTTTAGCCTTTGAGTGACCCCTTGTCATTTGTGCATGCATCTACATGTCTACAGTTTGTTCCTTTTGTCATGTACATCATTCATCAAAAGGTAAAATTGCGTTGTAATGGCCCAAAACACTTCCATTGGGAAAACGATGCAAATATAAAAACACTAATGTGCCGAAACACATTTAAATGAAGAAACATCTTCACCAACTTGACAAACATGCGCAGCTTTTACTCAAAGTACTCAAAACACAACGGAAACCAGGGGACATTTAAAAGTGATGCGCAGAGCTGGGGATTATACATTTGGCCAACAGTCACTGTCAAGTTATTTCAACAATGTGTTGGCATGATATATTCCGATATTATTGCAGATCTGCTGTAAGCTAGCTATCTAACTGAAAGTGAACAAGTGCTCCGGTCCCAGCTATGTGTGTCACTTTTTAGTGTCCACGTTTAGGTTGTGTTTTGAGCTTCTTGCAGTGTTTTTTTTTATTTGCAGCGTTTTGTTTATGCAGCGCTTGTAGAACTAAGCACATGTTTCGTCAAGTTGGTAAAGCGTTTTCCTCATTTGCATGTCTTCTATTTACATCGTTTTGGAAAGGTCAGCGCGTTTTTTCCCTATCCAAGCGTTTTGGGCCGTTAACACATTTGCACGGGTCGGCCACCATACGATTCACCGATCTAGACCAGTTTTCAACACTTGCAAAAATAAATAAGAAATGAACCATTTGCTGTTACTCACCAACTGCTGGAGCATCATACTCTTCCCCCAGCAGAATCTCTGGAGCAGAATACGCTAGCGACCCACAGCTAGTGGCCAACATTGTCCCTGGTTGGAATAAGTTGCTGAACCCAAAATCCGTTAGCTTCACCGCCCCCTGCTGGGGAAAGAACACCACGTTCTCTGGCTTCAGATCCCGATGCACCACGTGCAGCTGGTGGCAGTACGCCACAGCACGCACAATCTGGGCAAAATGGCGCTTGGCATTGCCTTCAGCTACGCCTCCCTCGTGGCGGAGGATGTAGTCGTAGAGGTCGCCCCCCTCAGCTAGCTCCATGATGAGGAAGAGGGTGCTGGGCGTGTCGATGACATCGTAGAGGCGAACCACGTTGGGATGCTGCACTAGTCTCATGCACCTAAAAAAGAATTATGCTAAATGTAAGATTGTTGTCAGCGTAATCCAAACTAGGAATATTAACTTTTAATAGTTGTGCAGCTGATAATTCCATTTGATTTCTAAATATTGCGGAAAATAAGAAATCGCGTTTATAATACTTACACATTATGTTCAGCACGGTAATCTCTACGTATTTTACCAATTCAATGATTTTAGAAGCATAAATGCAATTGCCAGAAGTAAGAAGCTAACATTAGCTATCTAATTAGGTCACTTGTTAGCAACCGCTGTTTCTATGAAACAAAGAAGCTTCAGGCAATCACCAGTGGGGTATTTACTGACTTATTTTCTGACGTAGAACAAAGTGGGAACATCTCTTAAGCTTAACTTAAGTGTTAACCACTAACGACTTAAATCAAAAAAACATTGCTTCAGGACTTTCTGGGTTGTATGACTCATTCCTGCACCACCCTATTCAGTTTTAAATTAGCATGGTTTACCTCACTTCCTGTAAGAGGTGGCTTGTTGCCATAACGTCAAGTTTTGTCTTGTCAATCATCTTGACAGCAACCAGTTGCCTCGTGTTGACATGACGAGCCAGTTTGACCACAGCAAAGTGGCCCCTGCCCAACGTGCGACCCAGAGAGTAGAGTCCGCTGAGATCCGAGCGACCGGGGCTGCTCCTGGGCTCGATATGTCCATCAGGAGCTGAGGTGGTTACTTGTCCAGAGGAGTCCATGTTTGAAACCAAGAAGGGATTTAAGGAGTAGCACAGGAGGAATTCAGGAGGAAGGGGAGAAGGAAGAGGAAGTAGGAGACGGGAAATAGTTGTGTCAAGGTGTCAGGGACGGAGGGAGGAAGTGGGGCAGGGCAGCAAAGTTCCTCACTGGTAGGGAGTTGCCTAGAAGGACAGAAAAAAGACAACACAATGAGATAAAATTACAGTGTTGAGGTTTTGGCCTTTGCCCGAAGGGAAAAGGGCTTGGATGAGGTCAGCAGCTGCTAAAAGCCTCATCCCTTCAAGTACTAGGCATGATTGAAAATTACCATATTTTAACAAAGGCAGAGAAGCCAGGTTTAAATAAAGCAGTGAAGTCTAGATTGTAACTTATACTGAAGCACAATGACACCAGTATAGTAAAACATTATTTTATTGTGTGTCATGTTGAAGGCCTGTGTTTCTCAAATAACAACCATCCAGCACAAATGGCACGCCGAATCAATACTGTAACAGGAAACCGTAATGTATGTATGCGTGTGTGTGTGTGTGTGTGTGTGTGTGTGTGTGTGTGCACGAGAGTTTGTGTGTCATTAGTTTGGCTAAGAGGGTCAGAAGGTGGCATTAGACCTGATGATGTCATCACCAGATCTTCCCCAGGGTAACAAGTTCATCATCATCTTCATTGCCATGGTGATCGATACAATTACCACTGTCAACTTCACTGCTGTTTTCTTTATCCTAATTGTCCTCATCATCACTGTCAATAGTTTATCATCATTTATCACTATATGACAGCATCACTTTCCATTAAAGACAACAGCAGGCTTTTCCCCACATGTTTAAATCCCCTCTCACAGCTCGACTGGGCCAAGTATACAGACTCAGGCCTCACCGTGTCAATATGCTCTCATATCCTTGGCTGTACACTTTTATCAGATTCACAACACTGCATGATCTTGCCTAAGGGCTGCTTCACTTGTGCTAAGGCCAGCTGTTCTCTACTTGGCCTCAACTGCAGTCAAGAGTTGGCACATACGCATGTAGTTTTTTTCCTGGCTGCTGCTCAACACCTCCAAACAAACCTCGCTGACATTGAACGCACCACAGTAATAACGCCGCTGTTGGACGAGATATGCCGTTATGAAAACACCTCATTGCCAACTTACCATTGTTGTGCAAATTATCCCGTAGCCGCGAGCCAACGGGTATTTCTGTCACTCACACTCGGTGTCGCTGAATTTAAACGTAGAAGAAGAAAGCGCTGCCTTCCCGTGTCCTTTCATAATACTCCATGTTCGCAGTCATACTTTCCTCATGACTGCCTGCCTCAAATCATTGAAGAGTCTCTAGCTCTGTCCGCGCGCCCGCTCCGCAGAAACACAAGAGTGGGACGGTACATATCGTGCGCGCGCCCGTGTGTACAGCTTGCTTTTGACGTCACTACATTCCTTCTAGCTCCCGCGGCGCAGCAGCAGCGAGCGGCCGCGCGCCTCGTGCGCAGTAAAGAGAGGAAAATGAGTGAATGAAAGCTTCGGAAGTCCAAGAAATTATATAACTCACTGACTAATGTGCATTTTCCTCTGAATAGCAGGGATAGACAATGATATGTCCCATAACATACATAATAACGTACATTCCTGAGATGCTTCTTTTATAATGACTTTAGGGCCACAGCGGAAATGAGGACCTAAACAAAAATAGTTTCTATTTATACCCCTATCTGCCTTTGAAATTGGAGTGCACTAATGGAAAGTCACATAGCATTCCTGTACTGTCCCTATAGGGAGCTACAGTGTGCCAAATAGAATATATAGTGACCTCATCAAGGTTTTGGTGTATGAACTGGTTTGATATCAAGCCTAATTATTTTTATCTGTTTATCGGGCTCATGGCCACACACCAACATTTACATTTTTGAATTAGATTTAATGTATTTTTGTTGCTGTTTGCAGGATTTAGAGATTCCAAATTGTTATTTCGAAAAGTCTGCACTAGTGGATGATCTCATCCAAGAGCTCTTTGTTTCATCTCAGGCAAGCTGCAGAATAATGGGGCCATCTAGTGGTCCTTTCTTTCTACCTTCACTATTTTCTCTTTTCTAGATTGCTTTCTTAAAACTGTATTGCCGATCTACCTGCAACCCACACACTACAGAGAAAAACGGATATGGTTAGGTATAAGAAATTATAATTTTTTTAAACTTCATAATACAAGCAAAAATCCACTAAATTGAGCTTAGTTAAACAAATGCCCAGTTGTTCACATTATCAAAATAAAATAAGGTACCCAAATCAAAACATGTTTTGCCTTAAAACCTTTGAGACCATTTGACTGACTTAAGCAATGGGCCTGTTGTCTTAACCATCAGTTTTGTGACATCTGACTGACAATTTCAACAACCAAAGCAGCCTTGTACTCTTACATGTTTACACCATGTGAACAGCTTTAACACAAGTCTAAACAATAGGCTCATCATTTAAGATGTCAGCACAGAATATCTTGTTTAAAATATTTGTAAAATATCATAATAATTATTTTTCAAACTATGCATTCAATTACAATCTACAAGTATATTTACTTACATTGCCCTTGTACTTAATTTTTTCTTTGGTGCAACATGACATATCATATTTTCTCTCTACCTTTTTAATGAAGGTGGGTGCTTAGATTTCCATTGTATCAATATATTTTTGCTGCTGTCCTTATTAATAGTATTTATGTTCTTTTGGCAATTCTATTTTTACCAATACTTAATTACCTTCTGTTTTAATGTTATCACTTTTACAGTTATAATAGCCAAGAAGTTTGGCAGCACATATGATCTGCTGAATTTATTGCATTCAATTCCATTTCCATGTCAAAGGTATTTTGTAAGGTTTTGCAGTGTGGTACCACTTTTGAGTAAACCAGGACTGACCTCATATCAATTAATACACAGACATATTGGGAGGAGTAAATATATCCATTCATTTTTACTAAAGTGGCAACTTTGCTTTACACATGCTGGTCCGGAAAAAGCTAGTTACAGATTTTGCACAAAAAACACATAGAAGAATATATATTTTGTATTATTCTTTCTTTTTCAAATTCAAGTTTTACATGTGATAAATTCATACATTTTGATACTTGCTGTCTCTGATGGCGTGTTTGTTTATTAACCAAGGTTACCTGGTACAAGATACAAATAAAACATACAGTAGAGTCAAAACAAACACATGGCCCCTAGCAGGAATAAAGTGCAACATAAATATCCAAAACAAAGGTTGAGCATTCTCCCAAAACCCATATTATTTTCTCTAACCCAAATAAACAAGACCACAAACCAAAAACAAACTTCATTACAGTGACACTTGCTACTTCTCTGACACATAATCACCCATACTATACTTTTGCAAGACCTTTATAAAATGTATATATAGTGTATTGGATTTTGTATCCAGTGGAATTTGTAAGAAATAAATACACATAAACCATAACAATGGTTAGGGTTAGGGTTCCTGAGAAGTAAAACTCATGATATAAATATAAAAAGCTTAAATTATAAGTTAAAATCAGCATGTTGTACTATCAAAACTGATAAAAAACACATTGAATTGTGAAGTGCTTTCTGTTATTTTGCTACAGCTTAGTGCTGCTAGGAATGAATTATGCAGCTCTTTAGTCATTTGTTTTAAAGTTCATGTGCATATAGCACAGTGCTTTTAATTGAATCCTGAAGTAGCACAAACAAAGGTATCCCAAAATAAAAAATCAGTCTCGCCCTTTCCCAGCACAGTTGTGCCTCCAGCATCACTCAGAGAATCCTTTCACCGTCAGCAGGGCCTCCGTCAGCCTGTCTCTCATGATCTCCTTGGAAGAGTATATGGGCAGGGTCAGAATAGAGTGACAGGTCAGAGACCCAGGGAAGTGCTGATCGTAGGTCTGACCGCTCTGGATTTGAATGAGTTGAATCTCCATCTTGACCTCGTCCATGCCAAAAATGGGAACACCCCTAAAACCAGTCAGGAACCCTGAGGAACACCCGGGTAGAAAATAGGAATCTTCAGGTTAATTTGTGTCGGCGTTATATGTATTTATTTGAATGGATGAGTGATTAATAACAATAATATTAATACCTATACCAACTGACATGATTTGGGATATTAATTGATAGGCTGCTTACATTAGGTTTCGATTTCATTAGGTACTTTGCAATACTTACACAGGAAATCTTTCTTCTGGTCTTCTGTCAGTTCCTCAAACACTTCCCAAAACATCTGAATGGTGTCGTAGCCTAGTCGTAGATCACAAACTGTGTTCTAAATTAGGGTTAAAAAGACAAATCTGTTACAATCTTTGATTTATAAAAATTAAGCTAAAGAAAATGTAAATCAGTTGCAGAGAAAACAAAATGATCTTGTGTTTGGAACAGTACCTGTTTCAGTTTTGCCCAGTCATAGACCTCCTGGCCCACGAGCACTCGCTGCAGCTCTTCTGGCCGGAACAGCTTCACCAAATCCTGGTCACACACCATGAAGAAGCCCCGCTTGAACTCCTGAAACACACCTTCCACTGATGTGTTGAAGGCATGATTCACGTAGGCATCCACAAACTCGTTCCTGTTCAGCAGATTAAAGTTTCAAGTCAATCAATATTTATCTGAAACCGAGCCAAACTGGGTGCTTGTCACAGACACAACTGAAAATGTTAATATTCTAAAAGTCTTACCTATTTTTAGCTGTCACTGGCTTTTCAGGATTTTGGGGATCAAGGTCAACCTCTTTCTGATCCCAGTTGATCTGTTCAGGAATCAAGAAAGTGAGCAGGTTAGTAACATCACTGCAACATATTTGAGTAAGAAAGATGAACAAAACACACTACTGGTGATCCTTAAGACTAAAACACCTACCAAAAACTCTGCATACAGGTCTTCAACTTCATCATCTTCAGAGTCTAAGATGTACTGCAGACTCCTAAAAAACAGAAGTTCAACATAAGATCTGAGTGATATATTTCTTTTTTTAAAGTGACCTTTGCTGCTACATAGTATTTATTAAATATATTGTGACCTTTCAGGAATCATTCAAATCAACGCAATGCAACTACTAAATATAATGCAACTAGTTAATCTCAGACTTGATTTCAATTGTTGGCGAGAACTTTACGATATACAAAGCTGCTGGCCTTCTTGCTGTTGGACTTTTAGGGTAATAGAGTTGGGCAGAAACAAGTCCTAAAACCTGGAAATAACTTAGCATTTTTCAACTTCCAGTTCGATCCTCTCGAAGTCAACATTGTTTTTCAATGTCGGAAATAAGGTGTTGGGTTAAAACAAGCCTAAGAGATTTTCATGTTTTGTTCTCAGACATAAAAAACTTCAGTAAAAACCCAACTTGTGAATATCCTAAGCTTATATTACATTACATTACATTATATATGTATCATAAAAACGGCGGTTGCTAAGAAAGAATAAAAGAGACTACGAAACATCATCACATCGAGTCAAGACCGCTTTTGGCTTAGCGTGGTGATGCCGACCATGCAACCGGGATGTAGTTTGTTTATATCCTAGCGTAAACTTTTATATTCTGGGGATTACATTTTCGCTTCAAAACTCACAAAGTGGAGTTCATGTGTGGAGATTATCCTGGTGAACAAAACGTGTTAAGTATTATAAATGTGTTTTGGCCACAAAGCTTATTTTATGCAGTATACCAACATGAAATGGAAAAATGTCATTGCTTTTTTTGGAGGGGCCGATCATTTATGGGTTGGCCTACAAAAATACATCAACTGCACCACTCTTATCAGCTTTTTGCTATGTCTTGCACTTTTATATTTTTGAATAGCAACATTTTCGACCAGGGGGGTATACTACGAAGCTGGTTCAACCTAACCTGGATATGTTTGAGTTAGCCGGTTGGCCTAATCCAAAACATACGTGCTCTCGCTAAACGGTACTACGACGCGGCTTATCAAGTGGATCGCTCAAGCCAGCCGTGTCCTATCTAGTTAGGTGCGCGTTTACAAGGGGTGGTATTTGGAGCATTCGACCAATCACAAACATGGAGAAGCGTACTGACAGCGCAGCGTCATACTTCCTGAATGAAAAGTCTATAATATTAGACATATGAAGAAGTTACACTTTAAACATCCATGACTTAAACACTTTATCCAGGATAAAAGCCACATAGCTGCACCTGCAAGGTGAATACAGCTGGTAAAAGAAAAAGAGTTTGAATGCGTACATTAACAGGTTTATGATATCACTGCCCCGTCTAAGACACTAGTGGATCTGACTTTAATTACATTTGTCTCGAGTGTTTCGTCAACTTAATGTGTTGCTTAAAATAATACTTCTGCATACAGTATGTGACACTGTGAGTGTTGCACGGCCAGATAC